TCTCCAGGTTTGGTAGTGACGATTTTTAGCTTAGTGGAATTTCATATCGAGAGTTTTGATTCATGGTGCTCGTTGCCGATAATTTTCGAAACTGTATTTCGAGAAAGTAATCTAGATTTGACGTTGGTTTATTTCTTGAATTTCGTCAAATTAAGATCGATTAAAACTAAAACTCTAGAACCTAAAACCTGAAGATCGTACAAATTAAAATTAAGCTAAAGATGAAAGAGAATTAAGATAAACTCGAACTAAATTCAAAATATTAAGGTGCGCGATATTATAATGTCCAAAATCTTACAACTCGAAGATGTACCGTGCCTTGGTTATTATAATTTTTGTGGAATTCTTGAAAGCCATTCGTATAACCGTAACGTAAAAGTTCTTCGAATAGACTCGCAATTCGATCGCTGATACTTGTGCAATTCATTCTGATGTCTATACGCTTCTGGAGAAGAGAACAATATGTTCTTTCCCACGCGGGACTATATTTTCCATGATATACGGTACGTCCATTATAATAATAGCCTTATCCGAGAAAACTATGCTACGAACGATCTTGCAGCCCTTGTAACGAAGCGAAGATAAAACTGCCGTATAACCTGGTCGAGTGTCGAGTGTGAAAGTTCGTGACGTAACTCGAACATTTATCTTCTCTATCGTATTATCTAACCCAATTAGGTAAATGGCCACTAGGATGCCTTTGTACGTTTACGAATGCGAGCAGGATACATACTTCGATAAATCGCGCCTTAATCTACCGTCAGCTTGAAAAGAGTAGCAAGATCTGTTTGGCACCGGTGGACGAAACAACGTTCAGAGTATCGCATTACGTTTAATAATACCGTTAATTAATATCACGCGAATGCCGCCAGCGAAATAATAACCGAAAATGAAAAATCCCTGACCCGGATAATTTTCGTTTAATTAAAGATATAGCCCGATTATAAATATATAACGGGCTAATGTTACGTTGTTCCGTGTGAATAATCTATTAAATTTCAGCTTGAATTGATTTATGTATAGATGCTTCGATGGAGGTTGATAATTGTTACATCGTTCGGTACGAGACCTCGATCAAATTTTCTGAAGAATTGTTAAAAATTAACGATTACAGGAAGCGATGGCTGGAGAAACGAATTTAATCAATTTTCAAGTAAATTTTGATTAAGTGACAATTTTAAAAAGAATTTTAATTACTCGTTCCGTCTTTCGTTGGCCAAAGCTTGGCTTCATTGGTCTTTTGAATTTACCTTTTATCGTAGCTTTCGTAAATTTTCGTAAAGTTTGACAGTCGGTAAGTATCTCGTTCAATTATTTGTTTTATTCAGAATTCGAAATTGTTTCGATTTATAACAAGAAAAGATCGAGATTGTCGTGTTTAAACTATCGAGAGGATGGGTCGTTCGGTATCTAAAACAATTGAAGATAGCTTTCGAGCAGTGTCGTTACTCAACTCGGTAGTATAACGAAATTTCCGTGCCGTTTCCGCTCCGGCACATTTGACTTAGCCAAGTTATAATTAGTATCATTGTTCATCAACGGTAAGCTGCTCCATTTAAGCTTTCCTTCCTATTGCCGTTGCGTAAGTTAAACTGCACATCACACACAAACTTAATCTTCTATGACTAATGAACGTAAAGTATAAGCGCCAGATAAGGATTCAGTTAACAATGGTATTTGGATATCATCGTCTATCTGATTTATTATCGTTATAATCAGTCCGTATAAGAATGACAGTTAAATGAAAGCAAATTGATTTTTCTGAATTCCGAGCTAATTGATTATAACGTAACACTTAATTACAAAAGGCAAGACTAAGCAACGAAAACAAAAATTAATTGTACATTGACTATTACTCTGAAATAGTTTAACCGATTGTTAGCAGTACCTATTTCGATCGCACGCATAGTACCGAAATAAAATTCTGAAGTATCCATTTGGAGATTCGCACGTATTAAATCGTATCAATAACGATTTCTCATTTTCTTCTCTATAATCAACGTATCTTTCCGTTTGCGAACGAACAGCGAGTCATTAGACCCAAATCCCAATGCGCGAAACATCCGCGTTATCAATAGAACGTTATCGGTAGCAAATGTCGGGCAATGTTATATTTGTACGAATAAAAAGTTGTTGATCGCGTCAATATCGACCATACTTTTGATGCAACGGTATAACGAAGCACTTTTACCAATCTGAAGAAGGTACAAAATGTGAACATTTGAACTTTCGTGCCATCTATGAATCGATATTTCGAAGCTTCGTTAAAAGTTGCACCGTGTTAACCTCCTATCGTTTTTCTCTCTACGTTGATTGCTATATTTATAAAAATTATCCTACGAGAGAACTAATTCCGCTAAAAGGACCTTTACTCTAAGAGTAAATCATACTCTTTTGACGAAAGTCGAGTAGCCGATGTTCTCTCGAGTCTTCTTAAATTTTGCATTCAAAATTCATGTATATTCAAGCCGGATTAATTCTACAAGTTCGCCGTTATCCTTATCCATCCTTACCAAGAGTGACCGTGACGCAGTGATTCACTTCCGGCTATCCCATATCGTACACGACGTTCATACTTTTCTTCCATGGAAACTCCTGCGTATTTCGTGCAATAAATAACCTGTGTAACAAATTTGTAATATCGGCAGAGCCGTCGACGTTAAAAACAGATCGATAGAAATTATAATCGAAATTCCGGATTCGATTGGATTGGATTGGATCGAAGTTCACGCGACCGACTTTCAATGGACCACGAATTTAATAATCTACGATGAATCATTTGAAATTGCATTAAGTGACGGACTATTAAAATGTCGAGAATTATTGCGTGGTTATTGGTCGACGATCGAACAAGTCTCGGCCCGTTTAATAGCGTTCGGGTTCGTGCACGCGAAACAAATTCGTAAAACCGATTCGCAGCAGTTGACAACGCGGCAATTTTCGCGTCGAGTTAATTAAATTGAAAACTACCGCTAATAATTGAATCGTCCGTCGAACGAAACGATCGTGCCCGTTCAATTGATTCGAGCACTTATTCGAAATCGAAGGATCCGCTCGGTCGGAAACTCCGATTCGAGATCGAGCCCACGGTGAAAGAGCCACGACGTTCCTCCGCGAGACTTTACCGTCACCCTTCTTACTCCAACGAAACTTCCAGCGTGATTCGATGCGGGAAATAATCATCGTAGATTACGTCCTTCCTCCGGAGAAACGAAGCGACGTGATATTTCAGTCGTGCGATAAGTACCGAGCAATTTGTTAAAACGACCGTCTACACCTTCCGATAAATTCGGTTATTTTGAAAATAAAAACGCTGAAACGAAAGACTCGTTCGTTCTCAATCGAACTTGCCTGCCATTTCATAATGCTAACGAAACTGCCTTTGTTTTCGCGTGCCTTTTTCACATTTATTACCAACATTCGTAAGTTTTTATAATCGGTGGTACAGGTATCTTGTCAAATTATTCAGTCCACTTCAATGATATCGTTTTCGTAAACAATTTGGTTCTATTTGTACAAAATTCTGTGTATCGAGATTAGAGAAAAAAAAAGATGAATTCAAATTTCAATACATATATAGACGTACAATATACATATATAAGTATTATAGTAGAATATTTTTCCTTCTGATATATATGTCGGGTTAACGTTGGAATTTTGGGCGTTTGACGAACCTTCACTCGAATTTGCCATCGTGGTTATAGCTGATATTTATTGGTACAAATGTGGTTATTACAAGAGGCTACAAGTAATAGCGGCGATCGGATGGTCGAGATGTTGATGACAATGAATTCAGGTTCGATAACGAATCCACGGCCAACGGGATGACGAATGCGATGTGATACACGTATGACTCAACGTACAAGTAAAACTTATCCGAATGAACTAACTCGCAGTCCAAGTGGAACTGCCCTTATATAGTCTTCTCCCCACCTCTCGGGTCAATCCTATATAATTGTTCCATACCTCTGTTAGGTACACGTCCCTCCCTTGACCGCGGCTACGTTCAGTGACCCGTTATGTCACTTCGAGCTCAAGCCTATTGTCATAAACCTTGAGTACCCATAATCGGATCAGAACATTACAACTATTTCTTTTATTACTTAAGTGTAGCTATAGTAGAAGTCTGGACTAGGGTGTTGGAGATTTCCCCAACATTCCAAAAGGGAGGCCCCCCTGTCCTTCCATCTCCGACATATATACAGGGTGGTAGGTAACTGGTGGTACAAGCGGAAATGGGGTGATTCTACGCGAAAAAAGAAGTCGAAAACTTAGAATAAAAATTTTTCGTTTGAGGCTTTGTTTTCGAGAAAATCGATTTTGAATTTTCGCTCGGTACGCGTGCACTTTATCACGTCTCGTTATAACGGATCTTACTGTAGATCGTTGTTTCGATTGACGTTATTTTTTTAATTTTTAAAATTTTTAAATGTTTAAATTTTTAAATGTTTAAATTTTTAAATTTTTAAATTTTTAAATTTTTAAATTTTTAAATTTTTAAATTTTTAAATTTTTAAATTTTTAAATTTTTAAATTTTTAAATTTTTAAATTTTTAAATTTTTAAATTTTTAAATTTTTAAATTTTTAAATTTTTAAATTTTTAAATTTTTAAATTTTTAAATTTTTAAATTTTTAAATTTTTAAATTTTTAAATTTTTAAATTTTTAAATTTTTAAATTTTTAAATTTTTAAATTTTTAAATTTTTAAATTTTTAAATTTTTAAATTTTTAAATTTTTAAATTTTTAAATTTTTAAATTTTTAAATTTTTAAATTTTTAAATTTTTAAATTTTTAAATTTTTAAATTTTTAAATTTTTAAATTTTTAAATTTTTAAATTTTTAAATTTTTAAATTTTTAAATTTTTAAATTTTTAAATTTTTAAATTTTTAAATTTTTAAATTTTTAAATTTTTAAATTTTTAAATTTTTAAATTTTTAAATTTTTATTCTATATTTTCGACTTCTTTTTTCGCGTAGAATCCCCCCCTTTCCGCTTGTACCACCAGTTACCGACCACCCTGTATATAGTAAAACTATCGATTCAGATCTGAATCTCTTTTCAATTACACAAATAGACTTTGTTTCCTCTGAATCGGAGCACGTCCCTTTTATCTTTATACTTTTTGAACATTTTTCTTAAAATAAAGAAGTTTCGAAGCAGCAGAACACATCCACTTTACCCGAGGTAGCAAACCAAAGAGGAAAGTGTCTGCGGCATCCATGTTAAAGCAAACAGCGCAGCGGCTGAACGTTCGGGATCCATCGCGGAAACGGGTCCGGTTTTCCTTCTGGGAGTCAGAGATTTCAAGAGATAAGTTGACAGGTTACGTCGCTGCGACGCGATTCCAGTTTTTCCGGGGCTGCGCACAAAGATAACGCGGCAGAGTTTTCGTACGATCGTTCCACGACAGTGAACAAAATTACCGGCAATCGGAGAGCGAACGTTCCTCGTCTTTTGTCGAGATCCATTGGACGTTTGCCTTCGTTGGAGATTTTTCAGGATTTACACCTGCGAGTCGATGTAAAAAGCGAGGTAAAACTATGTCCGCGCGAAATTCATTATCGCGTGCTTGGAATCTCCGAAAATCGTGCAAGCCAGCATTGTGAGCAGCCAGACAAACAAACGACACTAATTTATCGGTGCAATTGTCGAATCTTATGCAAATCCACCTTCGGTTTTCCTCAAACGACGTTTAATTGCCAGCAATTATGTTCTCTCAAATTACGCCGTCAACTTTTTTCCGATGAAAAGATACCGGTTAGTTAAACCTCGTCGTCGCATTTCATTCGAAGAATGTTCGTATACCGATTACAGTTAATTCATTTTTCTCTGATCTGTATAAAATTTTGTAGATTAAGCATTGGAAATCGTTGGAGTCGCATCGTCGATTTTACGGATTTATTAATACGCGAATTACTAATTACCAATCTTTAAAGATATATAATACACACGTGACAATTAAAAGATTTGTGACGGTTTGTGATTGTCACTGAATAAATAAATGTATTTCATAGTTTCAACAAACATAGACAGAATTTGACCGGATAATAGATGTATGCAATGTATTCGAGTTACGTTAAAAGTAGCACTGTCACTAGATTTCAAATGCGTTTGAAAGCTAAAATACCTACGAATGTGAGTAAATATTATATGGATCCATTAAACCTATACTATATACGTTTATAAAATTAACATTGGTTCAAGATATAATTTATATTCATCTGTTCCTTGACATCTGTCCATTACAATGGCGAGACTAATCGAGTACTAATAAGAAGACTAACAAGAAGTAGCGCCCGTAGATGTCTGTAATTAGGAATTAAACGATCAAGAAGACAGGGAATACGAGAATTTAATTTCCGAAAATATGAACGAAAATGTTGATACCAAAACGCGATGGTACTCTTATTTCTTTTTCCATGGTATTTTTCTAAGACGAACGAGCGAACGTTGATAAAAACGGTCATATCCCATTTATGGATGTAGTATCGGGGAGAAGGGCCCAAGAAACGTCGAGCTAACTACAAACAATGTCGCGAGAGGCGAGGCGCTGTCGGCTCCATCAATGCATTACCTGGTCCTTCAGGTAAATAGCTTTGCCGAAAAGACCTACGTGACCCTGGCTACGAGCGTCTGTAGAACACGTGTGCGGTGGGCCTAGCAAAAGACAATAGAGTGCTAAAACGGCCAGAGAGAGTCAGTCGAGAAGCAGAGTGCGAGCTGAGCGGATACGGAGTGTGAGTCGGCGTACGACGATATTGTAGTCTAATACTGTCCTATTGTTATTAAATATCACTTATTAAAATAAAACTAAACTAAAACTAAAATAAAACTAAACTTTGAACTCTACCATCATCACTTGTCCTTACTCTAAGAATCCACCAGTTACTACATCGATAATACCAATAATAGTAAATTTTATTAAATGACATTAAGATACAAGGAAAATACATCGTCAATTAAATAGGTTTATCGAATTCAAACCGTTACGAACAATGAAACTTCTAGGGCTATTACTAACTTCTCGCGCCGTTCTTTTTTTGAACATCGTTAAGATGTAGATGAAGAAGCCCAAAAGGTCCGAAGTTTCTAGGAACTTCTCTGTTTTCAGACGAGAGGGGGGGGGGCAGGTCGAAATCGTGCAACCTCGAGGATCGAAGTAACTCGTTTAACAAAGCAGACTTTACGTGCGCGTGAAGAATACGATAGTATTTCAAGCAGTTCATTGCTTGACAGTTCCGGAATAATGTCTCTTAATGTCGCGACGTTGAGAGCATCGGTAAGCGACGTTTCAAGCGGGCCGAGTTTCCTTCCTGAATGGAGTTGAAACTTTTCGCGAAACTTATAATGCAGAGAAACTCGTTAAGATGCCATGGACATCGGTACCAAGGCTCATTACCGTAATCTGCGAACTAAGTCCCTACAGTTTCTGTACATTAATATAAGAGCATGAAAAATTACACGTGCCTACAGTGTTCTCTTATTTCCTCCATTAGGGTCGCTGCGATTAGCGCGTGCAATTTTCAGAAACAAAGGACATGGTTACGTATACGGATTGCACCGGTAAAACGGGACAAGTCTATTTTCCTCCGAAACGAGATAATACAAAGATGAAACAATACATCGCGTTACATACATCTTCTTAGGTGTACGTATCTTACTCACAGCGACTACATAAAGTATTTGCACACACCCTTATGTTTCAATGAAACGTCCCTTATCAGACCCTATATTTTATCCTCACGGTAGCAAATTTTTCTAATTACACGAAACTATTACGAGACTCGATATACTTGGACCTAATTAATTCGTATGCAAATGTTACGATAAATACAATTGTTTGTAACCTAAATTCTCGCTGAAAATGACAACGTGAGTTCGTGCTCGCCATCCATATGCAGATGAGCTAGTTACAATAACTAGAAGATAGTTCTAGATACAATCGATAGATTTAATCGATAGATTTAAGATGTTCTTTTGTTTTTATCCCTGGTCCATGTAAGAAACTGCGATAAAAGCTTTTGCGGCTCAGAATGGTGTGATAGATTTATAAAATCAAAGAATAAAATAATAGCTATCGCGATCCTACCTCTGAATACAGAAATATTCTTTCGTACACGAGAGAATTATCACAACTTTAGATCAAATATCACCATTCTCTCAAAACAGCTCTTTCGTTGCACCTCAGGCACTGTACGACCAAATGCAAGTATCATTAGAATGCGATGCAGCGGAGTCTATGTATCGGAACCCGCAACAATGGATAGTGGCGCGTAGAAGGTTTCACTGTTGCGTGCTATTTCGGCCAATTACGAGCATCCAATTATCGCGACAGCAGCCGCGGGATCAGACGGCGCTGGTCATTACTCTCTGGTACACGCGTAACGTGCTTCGGATATCGCGTCGCATGCTTTTCATTCTTCAGCCTTGCTGGCCCTGGAAACGATGTCATACGTCATTGCCGCTTTCATTGCGACCCGGCCACGGGTGGCAGGGCTACGCAGAGTGGAGGTTCGTGGAACGCGTGCTACCATCGTTCCTCTTTGATCATTATTCGCGCCTGGCATTCCAATTTCGTTGCACTTTTCGTCGGCATTGATCGCTGAATCTCCTGCTCGTAAATCGTTGTAGCTATGCGAATCAGCTGGCCAACGTCGGCATGCGCAAATAGTGTTCATCCGTTTGTAATCTGATCCTATTCAGTCGCGTTCAAGATATTACGAGGCAAATATTTGCGAGATTTTGTTTCGTTTTTATGCATCACCGTGGACCGTTTCGATGCTATTTTTGTTCTTTCAGACTTTGATCTGTTTGACCCGTGAATTTGTTACTTTGTAGAATTTCCGGACGTTTTGAGCAGCAGATGAATATGTGGGTACGTGACAGTGATTAACGATTTGAACGTAGAAACTGTTTACTTTGCTTTTTGAAGATATTCGTTTAATATTCACGTGTACAAAGTAGGATTTTTATGTTGGCATTTTTGCATTAGTAAACATTTATGTATCATTTTTATTTTTATTTAATTTTTAAATATAGGTAGAAAAAGTTGTATCATGTTTTTTTACTTGATACAAAGAGATGACGCGTAATTGAATTTAATTGGGTTATGCTTGATATAATCGAACCAAAATTTCCATGACACAATATCAAATCAATCCGATCATATTTTTCTAACCAGGTGAGTGTTTAATCTGGCATACGCGTAGATCAAACAATTGACTTCTTATACTGTCACATTTCTTTTCTTTCGTAATATATCATTTTAGACGTAGACGTCTTCTAAACACCGGAAATTCTACGTAATTTTATGTTGAGACATATTAAATAGTATTTCTAACACACATCGAATGCTATTTTATTTGTATGTATGTAAATGGTCAAGTAAGCAAAATGTCCTTTTCAGAGCGGTTCTTCCACTTACGAAAGAGACAGAAAGACTTCCAAAATTAATAAAGAAAAAAGGGTGAAAAGTGTTACATGCATATTAATAAATTGGAAACTTTTCGTTAAATTAAATCGTATTTTTTACTGAGCTGTTTCTTTCAGAAGGAATAGCTTAAAACCATACAAACTTTCGGAACGATCTAATAATATATTTTCGACAAACGAGGGAAAATCATCGAGCATCTATTACAACTAACATATCCTAAATATTTAAAAGGTTAGAGCATCGCATCGAGTGTGGGTTAGGAAAGAAAACTTAACTTCCGCTTTGTAACGCGAGGAGTTGAAAGTTTCCCCTCCTGGCTACGACAAAGTCGTTCGAATTTGCATGAAAAAGAGGACGGGGCTTTCGAGCAACTGGTATATAAGCTACTCCTCAAATAAATGCAAATTCTTCTTCGAAAGCCTCTCCCGATGAGAGGCCGGGAATTTGCTTACATAAATATGGTATTATTGCACGGGAAAGTATTGCTTCATCGTCACATTCGCTGCTCGCTGCGCGTGTGCGCGTGAAATACACTAACTAACGTCCGAGAATTCAGCGCACCGGGGGTGGCATAAAATATTCATATTTAATGGTAATTTCCACGCTTCGTACTCAACGAACTTTCTTGCCGACGAGTTAATCCCCCTCATCCCCGAAATTTGCCGAATTCAACGTGAATCGAATGCACCGAGAACGCATAAACATATACACGTGTATTACAGAAATGTTGGCGAACCGTAAAATATCGTATGGTCGAAATAAACGACGGAAAAACTAACGGGACGTTAACATCGCTATGGAAATGGAAAAATTCATTAACGTAACGTGTATTCGTGTTCGACGATTTATAGGAATGAACTTTAATGTGATCGATTGCAAACAGTAATAAATATTAATGTTAGTATCTATGCCACTGAGCTTTATGGTATATCTCGTATCTGAAATTACAAGAGTCAAAACGAATTTTAAATAAATTTACGAACAATACCTTGAAATTCTAACGATTTATTTTAATCCTGTGTGCTTTACCATAACTAGATCGTGGATTTAAAACACAGGATTATATTTTTGTTCAGGCTACTGAAAGAAATCTGGAGCTGGAAGGAAATGGGAGGTTTGTTTTAGCGACGTATACTCTACTTCGGATATTTTATATATTTTATGTATTTTTGTATATATATTTTTGCTGCGTGTATTGTTGCTTCTTTGAATTTTTCATAACTGCGTAAAAAGATCCCCCATTTATTCGTAGTAAGTTGTCAGAAAATGTTCATCCCTTTTCTCTTTTACCAAAAATATCGAGCAATATGTAAAAAAGCGATGCAAAGGAGAAAAAAGGTAACGATAAGAAAGTTCTAAGAAACATTAATAAAAAAACAGCGATGACAGAAAATTGTATAAATATTCGTTTATACGTACCAAAGCATATTGCGTTCAAACATGCATTCGTCGAGTCTTTTCCGTCTGCCGCATTACGTTTCATTTACGACCACAATGAACATTCTTTCAAACGCACGAACAAACCACGCACAATACTAAAACGTACCAGAAACGAGCATATGTGGGATAAAAAAGAAACACGCGCGAAAGGTCGCTTGCGAAAGGTTTAACTGGAGACTTTCGAAATAATTGATTGCGCCCGGTTTTCGGGCTCAATCGATAATTGGCTGACACAGAGGGTACAAAAACAATTACCAGGCAGGATTAGGGATTGGCGTGCCGTGTGCCGGGGTATAGAAGGAACTGTGGTGGTTGATGGCGGCGGTGGTGGTGGCGTGCCAAGAGATAGTAAGCACCGACCGACTATGCACCACGTAGCCCCAATCGGATGATCGGAAACACGGGTTTCAGACTCCTGCGGGGACTAAGGGCTGCAACTTCATTGACAAACCCTATTTCACACCGACCGTTCTTGGATTCCTCAAAATCATCGGCTGCGTAACGCGATCAATTTTAAGAGCGCTATAGAATTTACCACGATCGCGATACAATCGGTCGCGCGTTTCTTCCACGCGTGTAATTTCAATCAAACGCGATAGAAGCTGCGCCGAGGAGATTCTCGCGTTGCCTGTAATTTTCAGGATGACCAAACAAAATTTCTGTAAATGCGAACATTTCCAAGTTAATCGTGGATAACATTTAGAACGATATTAAATCCGCGACGAGGAGCTAATTATTAGATGCAGAAGATCCAATAACCAATTCATATAATTACACACAGAGCCGCGAAATTGCGACCCGATATTTTCACTTATCTGCCGCGGAATACCGTGCTCTTACGGTATTCATTTCCCAATTTCCTGCGAGTCGGACGTTACCAAAATAACGAGGGATTTAAATTGCAAATATATGGAAGTCCGAGGGAGGTGACGCTCTCGTCCGATCCGAGATGACCTCGGCGAAGAATTCACAGCGCGGAAAAATTCGACGACGGGCGAGCAAGCACATCGAACCCTCCTCAACCTCTTCGTCCTCCATCGCGGCCTATATCATTTCACTATCAAGCCGGGACATCGAGGGCATAAAAAGGGCTTTCGATGACACTTCTGGTTACCTTCCTGGCCACTTCGCAAAGTTGGTCCACCGATATTGGCCCAATTCGAAAACGGCCAGACCCTCGGAAGGGAAATGGATCTTGGCAAGAGGCTGCGCCAGAATCGAATCAGACCTAATCCAGCTGACCACAACGATTTCACCCTTCTCTGACCATCGGCAGAATCGAAACCCACGAAATCTACGGTGTTTCAGTTTCATGACCTGGCTCGTACGATTTACACCGAAGCTTCGGTTTTCGGTCAATACAACGGTAATTTATCGTGCAAAGAGCTCTGATACGCCGTTAAAGCAATTGTAATAAATCGCCGGACGCGATGGCGCGGGCAGTGCGCGCGATAAAACACCCGGCCGAAAATCTCGATTCACCGATCTAATCTATTTCGTGCCGATTGCTTCGTTATTGTTTTCGCTTCGCTACCGCTGCTACGTTAATTTTAGCCGCCACTTTTAACCGCAGATCGTCTCGACTGTTTGAAATCTGTTATCGACAAGAGGCAACGTGCTTGTATCTTGCTACGTTTCCAGATCGTAGGAGATTACGTTAGATGGAATCTACCGGATTTTCGCAACGTTACGTTATCGTACATATCGGTGCATCTATTTCGCATTCACCTTTAAGAGTAAATCTTTTCATTCTATAAATTGGTAAAGATAACACGATTCGATCGTACTATTTGATATCACATTCAGAGACACGAGGATCGTATGTAACCGTTACAAGTGCAATATGAAAAATCGCCAATATCTCGTTGGCACGAAATAGCTAATTTTTTAGTAGAACAACGATCACGTGCAAGTTGTACGACTCATTGTCAGAAAAGAAACTAAACTTCGTCTTACGGCGAGTAAGATACGCCAGTGTATCCCGTAACGAATCCTCTAACGAATTCTCCGGGCAATGCCGCGTTATCTTCGAGTCACCAGTGACCGGAAGCGACGTTCACCGGGTGAGTAGCAAATACCTTGGAACGCCGCGTCACGTTGGAAAATCGATATACCATACAAGCCACTCTTTCCGAACAATTCACGACTCAAATTCGCCGTTCGCGCACGAAACAATCGGAATAACCGGAGACCGAAGTCGAGACGTCGCAAACCTCGAAGCCGTCCGTCCGTGTTTCACTGTTTGTAGGCGTTCAGTTTCGCTAAGCTGCACAGATAACGTCGCCACGTCCTCCGTACATTGTTCCACGAGTTTAAACAGATTACGCCCAGCGCTGTTTAAACGTAAATTGCTGCTCTAACTGCGCGCCACCGTCGAAGGACCACCGCAACTCCCGCTTCTTGTTCAATCTACGAAATGCAAGCGCAAGACGAGCACCGACTCGAAACTTTCTGCACGAGCCACGAGAATTATTTGTTTGCCCCTTATTGAGAATATTATACGCGCGATAATATCTAAGCTGAGGTAACACGACCTTGCTGAGAGAGGGAAGATGTGAATTACATTGGACTTGGTAATTAATGTTTGCCGAGTGATATGATTTAGGGTGGAATTAAAACAGTTAGATTAGGTTTTTAATATATTGCGGGAGAATTTAATTTAATTCCCCAGTGTGATGTTAGAGTGGCCCCACACGAACAATAATATCTCAATATCTCGAGGTTCTCAAGGAAGATGCGATTTGTCGATAAATACTGGCAATTCTGTATCGACGATATATGTCGATCCTTTCAATTGAGAATCTTGAAATATTAAGAATATATCGATAATCTGAGAGCGTTCTTTGATTTGCGCATTAAGTGTTACTGGTAAGATTATTTTGACAACGGAAACAGATAAGAAAGGACAATATCTGAACCACAGAGAGGGAGCAAGAAATCTTGGAATTTAATGTTACGATACGTAGGGTGAACGGATGAATGAATTTTCACCCTCAGGATTCCTATCATCTTCTTGAGCTTTCTTATCATCTTTCCCTACTGTTGTATAGGGAGAATCATGTCACAAATATAAAGTACGAAGTAAAAGAGTATCGTACTATGCACGTACCATTGTAACAATCCATTGTTCGTAGTTTAAAAATCGTGCGATTTCAAATATCGTACGAATAAAGTACAATAATGATATTCCAATAATAAAATATGAAATATAAAATCATCTCGTAAGCGTTCATGCACTTGGAAATGATCAATTTCTATGTACGTATATAATACCGTGATATGCATTGTCTACGATACATACTATATAATGATACTTGTTTCAATTTCAAACAGTAGATTCAAATTCGTAAAACTTTTCGAAACTGCTAAATAATTTTAATGCTCGATTCTCTGAATTACGCATAATCGCTTCGCGCAGAAGTTGCATTTTAGATGAAAGTACGATTCATTGTGTTTTTACTATTTAATGATACCTACCATAATATCGCGCTCTCCACACCGAGGATTATGACATCGTCTATTCAAATCAGTTATAAGAAATTATGTATTCATCGATGAATAAGTTATCCGATGTTCCAGGATCTCATCTCTCTGACATTATACGTTTAACATACAATATTTCTCTCGTCGTTTTGAACGATCTATTTCTTTCGCAAAAACTGTGTATCGATAATGCATCGAACTTTTGTATCGAGATATTTATTAAATAAGTCTCTTGCAACATCTGACATGGATAATTGAAGCAAGATTCATCGATCGAAATATCAGCAAGTCATAATAAACTGTACCGTGTTCAAGTACAAGACGCATTTAACAGTTTCTTATTATAATTAATTATTATAGTGCAGTTAAATTCACAACTCTGCAGTTCAAACATTCCCACTGCCTCGCTCGTGACGTTTAAACATTGTCGAAACCACCTTAAACGTCTCATCTCCGTAAAACGAAAATATCATCAGTGAAATGTTCTTCGATACGCTACGTCGCTAGTTTAAGGAAGAATCGACGGTTAAACTGCCAAGATTAATAATCACTTACAGTCTATTTTCTTAAACAGTTCGGTGTTAAACTGATTCCAGTGAAATATTTACCTGGCATATTGTGGTATTCGATATTAATCTTTTTACTTTCTATCTCTTTCAGGGCAGAATTTCTTTGTCAGAGGACGATTATTTTTTATTAATTACTAATAACGCACTGAAATTTGAAACTGTTTTTATCGAATGAAATTATAGTTTAATTCGAGCGTGAAAAGGTCATCGTCACAGACGAACGCAGACGGCGTTCTATCCCAGAACCGTGTTAGGTGATTGCTCCAACGTCTTTTCCTATTATACGCGTTTTACTCGTTTTTGCAACTTTCGAATCTCCCATAAGTGAACAAATATTCGTGATCTATTTCTGAAAGGCTTCTATTACATTAGCCGCACAGCATAATAAGATCACGAAAGACTCTTACTAGAACGTCAAACCACACGATAGACGTTCTAATGTTTAAACTCGGCAAGAAGATGAAAGACTAAAGATAGGTTCTTTGAAAATGAAGATCCTCCGAAAGATCTACGAATCCGATAAGATACCGCGTTCTATCACGAAATACTTTTCCCCGGCGATGATACGAGGATCGTGAATCGGAAACGTTGGCAGAAGAGAAACGTTTTCGGTGCTAGTTCAAAGGTAACGGGACAGCAATCCGTTCGATGCAAAGCGCGTAGAACTGCGAAATGGTCGACAGAGAACATTGACAGGCAATAAGCAATTCCGCAGGGATCTGATCCATTAGAGCGAGCAAGTACGCCACAATCTGACTCTCTTATCGCTTCGATTCGCTAGGATAAATTAACGTCAGCCTTCTCGTTTCGTACTTATTCGTATTAGGAGCGTAGGGGAGCGTATTTTAGGAAGTCGAGAAACATACGAGAAAAAACACGACTATCATCCAACGAGACACGAAACGTTTAATGTCAACAGCGAAATATCGCGAATCGATTAAACCTGTTTGTTTTTCGCAAAGCGTCGAATTCATTTCGACGAAAAAACGTGTGTTCGATTCCTTTGACGTAACGTTACACGAGCGTGATTATAATTTTGAAAAAATTTTCCAATGGATGCAAACAAATTGACCTTTACAGCGAGCGTTAATATAAACCGTTTGCTGTGTGACGGGATGCATTGTAAGTCAAACGGATGCGCGTAACAAATCTGAAAAGCGATATATTTTTCAATATACTTTTTTTTCACCCGAATATCGATTACTGCAAAATTAATCTGGCTTTTCATTTTTGTTTGCCTCGTCGTTCGCTCTGTTGAATGTTTTGTTTCAATTACAGCTTATAAGCACCGTCGCGCTTTTTAATTCTCGCGTTAAAAAGTCGTTTTGATGTTTTATACGTATCTACGCTTGCCGTGTGGCCATTTTGAGATAACGAAGCTTTTGTTGCTCCGAACTGTCGCGATAAATCGAATACTGCGAGAAATTTATCGCTTTATACAAATAATGTTTCGTGAAAGGAATATATCTGCGGTTAGAAAATAATCCAATTTTTATAAACGCTATACGCACATCTATCGCTAAAGTGTAAATGACGAATGGACTTGGCTATTAAAATCTCCAGAATAAAATAATTGATAATTGTAAGCAAATGTTGATGAACGAATATCGAGCTCAAATTATCGAATCTAATAAGAGATAAAGTGACGTTGATAAATTCCACTTAGAAACAAAAGTGTCGCAGCATACGGAGGTTTACGAAATCAATGCTATTTCGAATATTATCCTGGTAAGCTTCTTTCAGCGAGAGTAACGCAATTCCCTCGTGCGGAGACTTCGCCGCTTCCTTTTTTTTAACGAAGTTTCATTGCAACGAAAGAAACGACGAAAAAGAGGCTCTATTCAGAACAAAAGTTGCAATAACACAGGCAGAAAAGAATCTTTGCTGTATTCTCACACATAATGAAGTCAACGTCGAACAACTCAATATCCACGCGCCGCGCCGGTAACAAGCCCCGAAGCGGAATGCGAGAAGCTGACTCGCGAACGAGATTGTCGTGACAAGAGCCCGTATATTTTATGTTACCCGCTTTACGATTGCGCGGGATTAACGGTACGACAGGCCACTTATGCGCGGCTTTATGGTTGCATATGAGCAATGCCAACGACTTTGTTCATGTTTGACGCCGGCTCTCTGGAAAAAATGCTTCCGTAGAGCAGAATTAGTCACGGCTGGTGCTCTTTACGTGGCTTTACCGCCTGTACGCTAACGCACTACGGCAATGGGCAACGTAAAACATATACTCTCTCGTTTCATATCTAACGCACTTCGTATCATTGTTAACCATCACCCATGGTACATAGAGCAGCTGATACAAATTTTACGAAGCGTGTAAAACTATTGTTCGCAATATCGCTAAAGCAAGGTAGATACATCTCTGTGTATTAGTACTTAGATTTCTTTCAATATACAGGGTGATTGGTAACTGGTGGTACAAGCGGCAAGGGGGTGACTCGACAAGATTTGTTCTTCCACGAAAATGTTTAATCCTTCGAAGTGTCGTCTATTCATCGGTTATATTGAAAGTACCCTAATTGTCAATTTTCATTCGATTTTCTGAAACGCTCACCAATGACCAACGTGGCAGTCGAAGTGTCAAAACAGCGACAGGTGGTGGTGCGCGTGTGGAAAAGAGCAGTTTCTCAGCGACGTAGGAAAAACGTAAGGACGGAACGGCTGTTTTTCCTACGAATACGACGACCACGATTCTTCCGCCACTCAATGCCAGAAGATTGAGATTATTTGGCGCTACGCGTCATAGGACCAGCACTGCGTTCTTATGTGAATTTGGTTGACGTAGGAATTACGATACGCAGAGCGGATCAGTACGTTCGTATTATGAAACAGCCTAATCGCTGGATAATGGAACGCTGCAATCGTAAGAGCGTGGTCGGTATCAGCGGAGAATTTAGGAATAAAAAAACTTGGAGGCGTCGAGAGATTACGAGAGACGACGTTACACTGTGTCGTAAATGACAAGTTGGAACTGCAAGTTGACACTTGCACGTTCTTTTCGTTGCTTAACGTGGACAACGGCGTTCCATTTATAGCACGTAGCACGATCGAAGAGTGAATTATCTTTGTTGAGAATTTTCCATCTGAATAGCCGAAATAATGCTATAGGAACACTAAATTTACACTTAGAATTTAGATTGGAATAATTCTACAGGGTGGTTGGTAACTGGTGGTACAAGCGGAAAGAGGGTGATTCTACGCGAAAAAGAAGTCGAAAATATAGAATAAAAATTGTTCGTTCGAGGTTTTGTTTTCGAGAAAATCGACTTTGAATTTTCGCTCGGTACGCGTGCACTTTATCGCGTCTCGTTATAACGGATCTCACTGTAGATCGTTGTCTCGATTGACGTTTTTCTTTTATTCTATAAATTTTTATTCTATATTTTTTATTCTATATTTTCGACTTCTTTTTTCGCGCAGAATCACCCCCTTTCCTCTTGTATCACCAGTTACCAACCACCCTGTATAATTTTCATTTATAAGGATCAATGAGATTAGAACAATCGGCTAAACTAATCTGTATGTGTCATAAAAATATCTATATGTTAAGCGGTTGGCAGATTAAAATTCCATAAAGGTACTTGTACTTTTTTAGACGTCCCATGCGCATCGATAGATTTTGCTGATGTTACGCGTAAAGTACTTCAATAAGTTAGAATCAAATGTCAAGCCACGCCCTGTTTTGAATGTCTTACAAATAATTCATTACATTTCCAGTTCTGCATGTCGAAGGTACGTTTAGTCTTAATTTTCTTAGCGACGAAGCCAGAACGAAGAAGGTCTTTCACCTTTTACTCGCTAGTGAAGCTTAGGCGACGTTATCCGAGAACGGAGCTGAACGAGTAAAGAGTTGAAAGACGACGCTGGTACATGGAGAACACGGAAGATCCAATTTCCCGGACTGGCGAACGAGAGTGGGAAATAGAAAGGACGCGATTCATTGTACTTCGTTTTTGAAACAGTGAACTTCAAATCAAGGGTTACTATTTTATTACGTTCGTTTATTAATTCTAACGTTGAATTCAGTTTTATTTTAACCAAACGTTTGCTACTTTTTTCTTTCAGTAATATATACATATATGTGTAATAATACACGTACTTAAATACGAATGATTATAATTACAGTGATGCGGCAAAAAGAAATAGCTACAGACACGTACATATCTTTTATATAGATATACGATAAATATTTATTTCCATCTGAGTGAAAGTTGACGTTAATTGATTTATGATAATGTGGATCCTTCGATGATTCGATCGTATTTAGTTAAGTTTATTCTAATGTGGACTAACTAGATCACCTTATATAGTTAACGAAATCTGTATTAATAATATTTCAAACTATATTTCTATCTTTGTTCTCCAATTCTGGCTCGCTGTACTATTTCTCCCTTATATTTGTGTCGATAAATGGATAAATTATCGTGCAATTCCCTTGGCGAAGTACACGAAATGATACAATTCTAGTTCACAAATGACACATATTACTCGATATTTAATGGCCCAGAAAAATAAAAATAGGAGAGGGGAATAATGAAAGGTAGCAGGGTATGGTAAAGTAAATAACACTATCAAGGAACGAAGAATAGACCAAGTAAAAAGTAGAGGTAAACTAATTATAAACAAAGACAGCTAAAGAATAGTAAGCTACTGTGGAAAAGAAGAATTCAAAGAATAAGAATAAAAAAGGGAAAAGTAAAATAAAAATCCGGGCCCTTATACATCTAGAAAATATAATGGATAAAAAAGGATAGTTACATAATTCAGATACAAAAGCAACAGCGTTAAAAATAATCGTCTTAGACCAACTTCTATACATACTGTGCACGCGCGCGCACAACTTTATCATCGTACTACATACACATCACCACAAACGATGTTGTATCCAGGGAACAGAAAAGAAAGCAGAAAAGAAAGGATAAAAAACAATGAGTATATAATAAGGATAAAAAATAAAAGAGGAAAATCATAAATTACGTCGACATTGGATAGCGTAATCGCACGATCGGGCACGGAAGTTCGCAGGTCCGATCAACAGCATGCGAGCAAGCTCAATAATTTGCCCAGTTAACAGGAGAACTGGAATTTAAGCGTTACATAAAATGGATTTACAAACGCGTATTATTTCATTATGTAACTCTTGTGTCGCACCGGCAAAGTACAACGTGGAAAATATATCCGCGTTAATCCCATAAATTCGAGACCGACGAAATCCGCCCCAACGTCAAGTTGAAATTTGAATTACCACCGACGAATATCTGTAAACGTGTTATTTTATGGTAATGCTAAAACGCGTCTACAAAAGGAATACCGTTGACCGGATAAATCGACGTCCTTTGCCATTTCTGTTTGTTCTCGAATTTGTATCAATACTGGACCACCAACCATTAAAATACAAAATTTCAGCCGAAGAGATCTAAATGAAGAGTATCTGAAAAATGTATAATGAAGAGAACGCAGACGTTTATGCATTTATGGCAAGTTTCAAGGTGTACCAATCTAAGGAAAGAAATTGAGATATATACTGAAGTTTCAAAGAATTGCGTTGCACATGGGGCGGTGCAATTTGCATATAAAATACCTAAAAGGAAGTACTTACTTGTTGCAACAAACTTCAGGGCCAAATTTAATAACGACACAATTTTGGTAATATGCGATTGGTTAACAAGCTATTGGATTTTAAAATTTCTCTTATACGAAAAACAAAGAATGTGACTTATCGTGTATTTTTTACGCGAACTTCATATACGACAAATCGTCGAGAATGATTAAAAGTACATGGCTGAAAATTGAAAAAATTTGTTTAAAAAGTGACGTTTCTCGATTTTGCTAGCACGTGAACGGGAAAATACGAGTATTTAGCGATTCGACAAGAAAGAAGGAAGAAAAGGAAAAAAAAGAAAGAGTAGCGAGTTCAAGCGAGGTGAATACGGTTGGTCGCATTTTCGCGCATAAAGATTTCCGTGAAAAGCGGAGCGCTCGTTTTCAACGGGCAAAGCAAGATGCAACGAACGAAGGGTTCTAAGAATGGAACTGACACCTGGATAAGTATGACAGAAAAAGAGTGTTGAAGACAAAGAATAAGGCAAGAAGTATGGGGAGAGACGAATACAAGTTTCAAAGAGTCTGACTGTCATTACTGTTAAGCACACAAACAAGAGACTGTCCGCGAAGATGGATCCGATCTTCCTTTGGAATTTCGGCCTGGTTGTGCTTCGCGCGGTGTCATGGACAGAAATATAATCTGGTTTAACGTGTCTGTATTAAGTATGAAAATAACTACATGAAGTAAAGATATAGGACGCGTAGGCGGTTAAGCCTCGTTTACATTAGTCAAGCTATTTGAATTCAAGCAATACGAGCACGCTTTATCAATGCGAATTTTAAATCGCTTGAATCGAAGTAATTTGACTAATCTAGACGAGGCTTTAATATCAGATTTTTTTCTTGTAATGTCGTCGGTGAACTTCTTTTTTGTTCGAAGAACGATAGTTGTAAATAATTAAGCGTATCTTAATGGTCTTAGCACGGGTGCTTAACATTAGACTGCGAACGTTTATGTCAAATCGGATTTTTCTGAATATAATTAAAAAATCAGATTCTAAACAGGGATTTATCGCGTCATTTAAATATCACAGTTACTCCTTTAGTTTAAATATTTTGTACACTCCTGTACAATATGCGTGTTTTGTAAATAACTACACGTTTAAATTTTCAATTTCCATCTAGTGATTACTTTTTATCGCACAGAATTCCAACTTTTAAATAATACTCCGTTAAATAACGATGCCTAGAAAAATTCATTCGTTTTATCGACAATGAGAAATATTTCATGATATATCAATTTTCCCAACATCATCTGCCTTTCTACTTTTATATACGAGATATTACGAAGAAAATGTGTACTCTTGTTTATAAAACAGATGCGTCTATACCCTACTTAAATGTATTACCGTACATAAGAAAAATTGATATTATAGGAAAATAAGTATATATTATAAGAAAATAAGTATACTACTTCTTTTCTTTTTCCAGGCCTATGTTCCTTACCCTTAACTAAGTAAGAAATACAACCGGGTATACAGTAGGTTAACGCACTGTATATGAATCTTGAGGAGAACAAAATTTCTCTACAAACTTCAACGACAGTACGGAACAATGAGAGGAATTAATTATGCGAAAGATTATTCTTTAGATCCCATTCATATAATGGCAGCTCGATCGGTAACATATCGCATCACAAAGAAGGATACTGTAATTAAATTGGTTAGAACGGGTATTCAGAGAGAAAGAGTGGGGGAGAGGGGAGTGAGAGAGAGAGAGAGAGAGAAAGCAGCCCGAGGGCTCGATTTGAAATTGAATTCGCTGAAATAAGCGGAACCCCTTCTGTTATCGATTACGTCGGATAACGATCTGCCTCTGTGAACAGCCAACCTCTTTATACGTAAACGTGACTTTAATTCTTAGAGCGTCGAATCGAACCTGCTCTTTCATCCTAGCTTTTTCTTCGAGAAAAATTGCGATCTCACGTTTCTATGTCAATCTCGCGAGGCGAAATAGATATACGTAGGTAGCACGCTGATGTCACGATAATTGTAAACAATTCTCTCGTCGAGTTTCCGAGTTTCTGCCAAATATCTTTTCGCCACGTCGAAACACAAATGCCTGATTGAACGCAGTGAAGTATTCTTGAAAAGACTAAGAATTATTTAGTAATCGATAAGAACGATCAATAAGAATCAGAATTGACACGATACGTCAAATTGAAAATTTGATCTTTCGATGTAGGATTCGTCGTTGAATAATTCTTACCAATAGAATTATCGACATACATTACGTTTCCAAATTTACTCTACATAGATAATTACAGTCAAAATAGTACAATGAATACAAATAGACATATAAAATTATTTCTACTTAGTAAAAGTCAATGTTAATTTCGCCGAAAGCACCTGTATGATTTCGATAATTGGCATTTACGTACAAAAGCAAAACGTTCGAAATTTCGCAGATTCGACTATTCGATTAAGAGTCGTGGTGTTAAATAATCCTATTTAAATATGAAAATTCGATACTAACATTCAATAGTAATTACATAACGTAACATCTAGGTAACACCACATCCTAGAAACCTTCGATCAAACTCCACTATCGTAAACAAAAATTGACCCTTAATTTCATCGTACCTTTTCGCAATTACGGTCAAGATGTCAAGCAGAATGTCGATGCAAAACGTAGCAAAAGGAGAAGCTCGTTGAAACGGAAGGAGAATAACAAGCGTGATGCAAATTAGTCGAAATAAAAGCACGCGAAACGTAGAACGTCTGTGCGCGATGCATATTCACATCTCTGGCGTACAAAGGAGCGTGAACGCGAATTTCGACAGCGGCGAGCATTTTATTATCACAGCGATTCGTTAATCACGCGCCTTGGTCTGCGCCCGACTTCAAAACTATGAGCTAATTAAGGCAACGTAATTAAGTAATTAACTACCTGCCGTAGGAGGTTGGCAAAGCGTCCTCGCTGCCTTAACTCGCGCAACGAACGTGTACACGCGTACATTCGTACATGATAACTACGCTCACGCGCGCGCGCATACACGCACACGTGCACATGAATATAACAGTTCGTACAATTCCCAGGATTCGTCGTGCAGTCACGCAATTAAACCGTCCCATTATTCGAGCACATCTGCGTACATAAATGCGCGTAATTTTGCCCGTTCGAGAGGCGACGATAATAATTGCGGATAAATATTCGCGATTAAGGGTGTAATTTCAGCGAGGCGGCCGGACAGGAAGCGGAACCGAGACGAACGCGCGATATTCTCGCGTGACGTTTCTCGCGCCCGACAGTACCTTGATAAAAGTGTACCCGCATCGCGTAATCGAGGGGCCGACGAATTTTGCGATGAATTTGAAACCGGCGCGGCGGACCGCGATGCCCTTGTTTCCGCGAACTTTGGATGTTCGTTGTTGAAACTTAAATTAATACTTGCGCCGGCATGCCGCCGGGATGGTAAGCGGATTTAAATTGTGCCAGGAAAAAAATTTCGCCGCGGTGAAAATAAAGAAGCTCGATTTGCGTGCTTGCCAGCCGCTTGCCCCTGTTCGTTAAGTTAGACGCTTGTTCTTTGCTTGGTTGAAAAAATTACGGGATTCTTGTACGTACTCGACATGTCACGTAGGTATTCAATTGATCCGCGGGCTTCTTTCCGATCGAAAGGAGGAAAACTGATCATTTTTAGCGAAGTAGTAATACTAGCAAGGTCAGCGGTAGATGATTGTTTCTTACTCTTCAACCGAGTTTATTTAAAATATGTTTGCGAACGTTAATATAGCGTGTTCTTCGCATATTTCTAGAACCATGCTTAAACAAAACGATATTAAACGTACACAGATGCGTCACTCAGAGTAGTAACGGTGTACCTATAGTCTTATTAAAAACGATACCATACCACGTACATGTTCGAGACAGTTTTAAGGAATTAGCATAAACACGTAAAAACAGCGATAAAGCTACAATTTTCATGTACATTTCCATTACTTTCACCGCTTTGTTACTCGACGAATATTACAAATTTGTATCGAAATCCACTCATTGGCACTCGTTTCACGGCAAACGAAAACCACCATGTTCCACTAAAACTACCGAGAAAAATCCTTCGCGATATGTATACGGATCGAAACGAGAGGTTGATAATTTGAAGTGCCTCGAGCGACGAGAGAAAATAAGAGAGGGAGCAGATCGCACAATAGACGCGTCACGCCCAATTATCCGAGCACGATGTTTGCCGGCGACACGTTCAACGATTAGCCCGCAATAATTAAACGCTGATAATCAGCGTTTCTGCGAGGAGACGGAGTGTGGTCGGGGATTAGAGAATCATGGGGGATAGAAATGGGAGAGAGAGACACTTAATCGTTAATTAATTCGCTCGACGTCGGGGTGACGTTAGCTCGACGCATAGAAGCCGGATGAAAATTATGCGTGGTCGTGCGACGACGCGACGAGGCAATAAAGTGCTCAACCAGCGAGCACCGCCTATCGTGAATATCGGTGGCCGCGCTGGGAAAGTGTTCTTTAATGCATGTGCACGATCGAGCGAGGCAAGTTTACAGCGCTGGCTCACGGCACGCTTCGACCACGCGAGCCACGAAACCCGCCGTCCTTTCCTCCTGGTGAAACACACCGGGTCGCATGGTGAGACCGGCAGCACGCGAGGCGCGTGATCCACCGTCGGACTCTACGGATCCGAGGAATCGAACGACACGTCCGTCTGATAACGAATCGCCGCCACCTTCCTACCATTCGCGCAATTATTCAATGAAAACGGAGCCGAGATAGACTCGGCGAAGTCACGATTCCAACCATACCACCTCGCCAATGGCTGAAAATTTTATCAATACATTCCTTTCAGGGCTTGCTCCGGGAACGAGAGGTATAAATTTGTACGCTCGTTCGGGATAATTCGTCTCCGAAGACGATGCTGCGATCTCTTGTGGTCTATGTGAGGTAGAAAGGGTTTCGGGTATTTTTTAAACTTTTTTAATCGGAACTTACCCCGAGTCACGTGTCAGGATACTGGAAATAAGATGTTATCATTGGATTATTTGTTTCTTACTTGGGATAATAGATGAAAATGGAAGCGTAAGTCTATATTACCGAGAAGATGATATTATTGTTTTCGAGCTTGATAAATGGTCACGATGACGTAACCTGCTGCTTTATACAACACTTTTGCCATTGTTATTCTAGGTATCGGATGTATCGCTTGAGGTCATGAAAACGTGCGTTGGTAGACTATATGGTTTTAACTTAGTTGGCTAATAAAAATAAACGGATTGTACTTTTAGAGAGTTTTAGAACGTTACACGGGTGACCACTTCGCGTGGCAGTCGATCGTCGATAATCGCATACTCTATCAGAATTCTTACCGGTGTCGACAAAAAATATCTTCTTAGAAAAAGAACGATCGACCACAGAAAGGCCGAGAAAAAGAATGTGACTGAACGTAAAAATAAATCAACGAAATAAGTATGAAATTAAGTACGCCTTAAAAAAGCAGGAAAAATAAGAAATGTATATATTCATCGTTCAAGTGTACCATTATTATAGCTATGTCAAATATAATAGTTACTGTCAGTTATGTCGAGCGTATAAGTAAAAAATATGCCATGAACGTGTGTCAAAACTCTCGCTCGAAGGCTAAAAAAGTTTCTCGACGAATGACGTCGTCGGTATTTCGGAAAGATGACGCGTCCAACGTTCTTCGACATTTACCGAATTTTTGTCCTATTTTCGCTAGTCCTTCGCGCATTTTCAAACGAGCGTAACCTCGACTCGAAGAGCTTTCGGATTAGCAGCACCGTGAGAACTCTCGTGGAAACTCTCGTTTCAAGTATGTCGTAATACGATAGGACGATCACACATTCGAGAATACTCGCGATAATCGCAACAGGATCGCTGGAATATACGATCCTCCTGGTCGCTCTACTTAAGAGAATTGCTTGTAAGCTTCTTTCGGATGAAATCGTTCGATGACAAAATATCGTATTAAAAGAGAACGTTACTAGCGATGATAAAAAAAAAAAAAAAAGATAAGCGAGAAAATAAAAGAACGCATACGAAAAATTTGTTAAATAGAAACTCCAAGCCGATTGAAATTTATAACACACACCCCCGTTTAAAATATAATTATGAAAAACTCATTTCTCGATTTTCTTGGAATCTAGCATTGAGAAATATGCTTCTTGTATTCTTAGACATTGTAGATTTTTATTTCGACCAATAATTTTAAACTGAATTAAATTAAAGTATAACTTTTTGTGCTTGCCGCTATAAATAAAGACACGGACGACGTATAGAATACTTATCCAAATTATAAATTATAAGTTGCGAAATATAATAAATTCGAGAAACCACTAGGTTGGAAAAGTATATATTATTAACTAACGGTATGAGCAAATAAAAGTATGGTATTGAAAAGTTCAGTCAAGAGCTCGGTCAATCCAATTCAAAGGTATACGATCTCAGACAGAACAATCTTGCAAGTTTTTATTTCGAGTAATAATTACGAAGCAAATGAAGTTATATTTGGTACAAGGATTTCCTCCATTTATGTTCTCGTCATTGTACCTATATGAACATAATCGTGTAACGAAATTTCGTTTTATCACAGGATAATCATTGAATTATTATCTCACGAAAGGTACAGCAATACAATATCTCTCTATTAAACGAGGAATTAACGCATTACATTTAACAACTCTTTCTCACCTCAACCTATTCCCTTTTGTCCATTTCTCGAACATTCACATCGAATCAGCCGGCGCGGCGTTCTTCGAATCGCTGCAGGCGATCTAAACGCGTCGCGAAAAGTGCAAAACGCGTTGTAATTGGGGAGAGACGGGCTCGATCGAGTGTTTATACGAATGAAAAGAACGTTAAAAACGCATTTCAGCGCGGCTTAAAATCGATACTTTCCTCGGTTATGCCGGCTGAATGCTGAATTAGTCCGAACGAAAATAAACGCACGGCGTGCAACGCGCGGTAAACGCGTTTTGGCCGGAGCTTTGTTGTTTTAGCAAGCTTTTCGACGGAGGCCAAATGAATTTTCGTATTATTCGCGACGCATACCGATAAGTCCATCCGCGAGTGTTCGACTTTCCAGGTATTTAAAAATACGTACCGATCAACAGCGGATAGGGAAGAGAAACGGCGATCATTCGATTGAACGAACGTTCATCGCGATGTGTTTTAATATCGCGATCGTGAAATTGCCAACTCGATGAATCGGACAATTTTAACTCCGAAACAAATTCCTTCGAACGTTCCCATTTATTGGAAATTAATTATCATCCATCGAAATCGCGATTTCCGTAAAGATGCTTTCGTCTGATTTAATCGTTGCTGTGTCAGAGAGATAAAACAGGATTACCGATCGAAAATGAATTAAGTTTGCCAAGTCGACGTTCTATCGATTCGGTCATGCTGTTTTCAGTTTGTCGCAGCATCAGCACTGTTGCAGTATCAGCACGACGAGCAAACGGTATCGGAAACATCCCTTGATCTTACCTTATCTCACTCCAACAATCACGAAAACGACAAATTCAAAATTCCAGTCAACGAAGTACCCCAAATTCGAGAAAATTGAATCAACGTAACGAATATTCGGACAACGACGACAAACTTAGCGAAAGTGGTAGAAATATTTCAACGCGCCTACAATTGGCGCGACGAAGCACGCGTTATCGCGCATTCCAAACTGCGAAAATACACCTTCCGATCGAGAAGATGCTTCGATTCTGTTACGTTGATAGATTGCGCGAGATCACTGCCAGTCATTCCAGGGAGACAACTAGGAGTTTTCTGCGTTTTTAGTCGCAGCACGATGAATATTCAGACAGCCGGAGGGTATCCTGAAAGTTTACCCTCTCGGTGAATTCGTATGGCCAAACTTTCCACGGCATCGATATTCTGTTGCGGTAAATGCAGTCGACCCATTCACCGACGACTGTATTTGCATCTAGTGGCATTTACGATTGCGAGAGCAAAAGCTCACGGCCGAAAATATACTTCACGACGAAAAGGCGGTGGTTCCCCTGTCATTGTCGCGCCAGCCATTCCGGATCAATCGTTTCTCGCTGTTTTCTCGTAAAATTGCATACCTCGTGAGACATGCCGCGGTCATTCGGCGTTTCAAAACTTATTATACCATTCGTGAAAACGTTACACTCGTTCGTTCGCATAGAAAGAGTGTGACAACGTCTTCGAACGAAGTCTCAGTCATAATTTTGCTTCGTAGTTCGCTTGAACTTTGAAAATGTAGTTAAGTACAATTGGAAATTGTGCTTATAAAACTGATGTTGAACTTTTGTAGGTAAATACTCGTGCTAATTACACACGTCTAAAAAATATGTATTATCACTTGAGAACGATACAAGTAAATTTATTCATAAATATACAGAAATTTTATTCTCTTATTTTCAATAAAAACTTTATGACTATATATTTATCTTTCTATCGTATTAATTTCTTAGCGTTGTGACGATTGAACGCTACCTTTGCCTTTCTATTTGAACATTCTTAATCTTCTAAAAAACTTCTTAATCCGCCTGAATTCGTATTTAT